GAAGGGGAGGGGGGGGAGAAATAGAAGGGATGGGGGGGCACGACGACCACCGCAGAGGGGAAGAGGCGGCGGGAGCTGCCTGCCCTGCCCGCCCGGTACCCCCCTACCTGCAGAGCTGCCCGGCTCCGGCTCCGTCGAGCGGCGGCAGAGACAGGATCCTCGCCGGGGGGAGGGCGCCTCCGACCGGCCCCGCCCGCCCGTCCCGGCCCGCGGGGGGACGGGGAGGAGGGGAAGGGGAAGGGGAAGAAGGGAGGGACGGCCTTTTTTTTTTTTCTTTCTGTACCAAGATAAAACAAGAGCAGAGTCAAGCTCATCCTCCCCCAGGACGAGGTTCTACTGGGGGAGATCGTCTAGAGCCAAACCGAAGGTCTCAGGTGCCCGGGGAGACACCGTGGGGATGTTTCACAGCGTAACAGCTTAATAAAGGGCTTTTCATAGAGTCATAGAATGGTTTGGGGTGGAAGAGGCCTCAAAGATCATCCAGTTCCAACCCCCCTGCCCTGGGCAGGGACACCTCCCACCAGACCAGGGTGCTCCAAGCCCCATCCAGCCTGGCCTGGAACCCTCCAGGGATGGGGCATCCACAACTTCTCTGGCTTGGCAACCTGGGCCGGCCTCTCACCACCTTCACAGTAAAGAATTTCTTCCTAATATCTGATCTAAATCTTCCCTCTTTCAGTTTAAAACCATTACATCTTGTCCTATGGCTCTACTTCCTGACAAAGAGTCCTTCCCCATCTCTCCTGTAGCCCTTTTAGGCACTGGAAGGGGCTCTAAGGTCTCCCTGGAGCCTTCCCTTCGGGTTAAACAACCCCAACTCTCTCAGCCCATCCTCACAGCAGAGGTGCTCCAGCCCTCAGATCATCTTCATGGCCTCCTCCGGACCTGCTCCAACAGGTCTGTGTCCTTCTTACGCCAGGAGCCCCAGAGCTGGATGCAATGCCCTGTCCCCCTCCCCTGTCCTGTTCCCCTCCTGCCTCACCACCAGCGGGGCTCACATCTACCCACTTGCCTCTGAGGCCCGGGGCAAGAGGAAAAAGCAAAACACCAAGAGCCTCTATAAAACCCCAGCAGGGAGGTGCCAGCCAGTGTTCCCCAGGGCTTCGGGACAGGACTGATTTACAGAGAAACGGGCAAAGAGCATCTCCAGGGAGGCAGCAGACCTCGGCACGCCGGACTGGGAATAACATTTCTGCTGCCCAGTGGAATATTCCACTCCCTCGGCAATGCTGAAGAGCAAAGCCAGCAGCAGCTATTCCCAGCCAGCCCCGGGAAGCAAGGCGGGATGTCACACAAGCCAGATGTCACCCGCAGTGAGACCCACATGCTGCACCCTTTACTCCTGCCTTTCCCAGGGAAACCTGCCGGATTCCCCGTGACAGAAACCACTACTATGTGCCCTCAGACACCCCTGGCCTCTGGGCACTTCCCAGGCATGCAGCTCCCCCGGGAGCAGTGCCCAGGCAGCATCCTCCCTGCCTCCCCAACGGCTGCTGCTGTCGGATAAAAAGCACATTGGGGTTTTATCGCGGGTGGCAGCGTATCCTCACGAGCAGGGGTTTCCTCTGGAGCTTCATGAGCAGGGGCTGACACAGGCACAGAATCCAGAGGCCTCATGTTTTCTCTGGTGATCCCACAATGGGGGGATGTGTTTACATCTCAGAAAGAAATTCTTTATTGTGAAGGTGGTGAGAGCCTGGCCCAGGCTGCCCAGAGAAGCTGTGG